AGCTCCTGGTTCTTCAACTTCTACTTCTTCCTCTCCACCATCTGGAGGACAACGTTCAATACAGACAATGTTAAAGCAAGAAAAAGAACAAGAAAAAGTGACTCTGCAGATGATTATGCAAGGAATTCAAAATATTCAAGCAAGATCAGAGAATATTGAAAAGAGAATAGAGAACATTGAACAAAGAACAGAGAACATTGAACAAAGAACAGGGAAAACTGATGAAAAAGTGGAGAACTTCCAACAAATGATATTGAAGTATGATGAGAGATTCCAAAAAATTGAAGAAGATAAACAAAGAGACAAAAAGATTGGAGATATTGATAATAGATTAACGGTGGTTGAACAAGATAAAAGTGGTATGTTGAAATGGGAGATGGATAGATCAGAATTCTATCTTAGATTCCAAAACGTAGAGGAAGAAAAAGGACAAAACTTAGCTGAGATAATGATAGAAATACTGGCTGAAGCTTTGGAAATAACTCAAGAGAAGATGATGGATGGAATAGATGAGGTTTATCGAGTTTTCACAAGATATGCAATGAGAAATAGCTTACCAAGAGAAGTTCACATTAGATTTACAAAGAAAGCCATTAAAACGCAAATATTCCAAGTGGCAAAAGAGAAAACATTGAAATATAAAGACAAGGAGATTGTGGTTTTGAAACAAATACCCAGAAGAGTGAGAGAGATGAGAAGAGAATACCGATTCCTGACTAAAATGCTACTTAAAAAAGAGGTGAATTATAGATGGCTGATTCCAGAAGGTTTAATATTCACATGGTAAGAACAGAGACATAGAATTGACTCAATTGAGAAAGCGGAATTATTGTATACAGAATTTTTTGGAGGGAAAGAGGAAGAGGCAGAAAAAGAAATCTCACTAATTGAATTCCAAGAGGACTGCCAAATGACGATTGAAAAAGAAGAAGGTGCAGTAGGTGGAAAGGTGGAAGCCAAAGAACAACGTGAACTAAGATCTATGAGAGCTGCTAAACCTAACTACAAAATATAACCATGGAAGGGTCCCAAATGATTATTGACATGATTGTTAGATAGGTGAAATGCATAATAGAAAACAATTTTTGAACCAAGGTACCTCCAATGGGATAACTTACAGAATATATTCATAATCCCAGAACCCATAACTCCTGAAGCAATGAGACTTGGGAAACTTGTGGTTGCTTTGGTGCTACTAGCTACTCCTGCAACCTGATTTTCCTTTTCAAGGAAGGAATGAAACTTGGGGAAGTTATGGCTCCTTCAGTGCTACTAGCTACTCCTGCAATAGTCACTTGATCTTCATTTTCAATGCTCTATGACATTTTTCCAGTCAGTCATGCAATCCTTTACTCCCTCCTCATCCAGCAGCAAGGAGAGTATTCATCCTATACCTCTAAAGAAGCAACAATGTTAAGATACATGAAGAAAAATCTTGATATATTTATTATTTTATATATTCCTTCTGTGGCATACAAACCAGAGTGGTATTTAGCAGGTTCTGACCAGTTTAGGAGAACTGGTAGTGGAAATTTTGAGCAGTTCGGAGAACCGGCAAATACCCCCTCTGATTGGTCCCACCTCTTTCTGCCTCCTGAGTCCCAGCTGATCAGCTGGGTCTTCTTTTGTTGCCCTGCACAGGAGAACGGAGCTGGAAAGCAGCTGAGTGGGGTGTGGAGGGAATGGAGATTTTGCAGTATCCTTCCCCTGCCACGCCCACCAAGCCATGCCCACAGAACCAATAGTAAAAATTTTTGAATCCCACCACTGACACAAACATGTATAGCATGTATCTATATCCCATTTTTTTTCCAGGAACTCAGGGCACCTACATAGTGCTCCATCCTTCTATATTTCATGACCATAACCCTGTGACCTCTAAACCACTAAAAGCTGCTCTGGGGCTTCAAAAAAAAAAAAAAAAAAGCCTATAGGAAATAGATCTCTCTTGTGTCAGTCATTATCCACTATGCATTAGTATTTTCTCATTGTTTCATTTTTCAACTGCTTCCTACTCTGAACCTGAGCATAGACTCTTCTGTTGGAGGAGAAAAAGGATGTGTGTATTATCTGCAAAAATTGTTTTGTTTTATTTTTTGTAAATGTTTTGAGTGAGTTGTTGGAGATATTTCCATTTAATTTTATCCATTAAAATGAATAAGTCAATGGAAATGATTCTATATACTTACAGTATTGATCAAGCATATTTGGATTTTTGAATAAGTGATAAGTCTGTGTGTATTATATGCAAAATGGCTTTGTCTATTATTCACTGATATAGTAATTAAATTATTGGATTCCTCTAAAACTTTTTGATATGACTAAATATATTTGTTCATGACATAATATACATTATTATCACATAAGGATAAAGTAGTAAATTTGGACTCTCCACCATTTTAAGTCTTTAGACTGTGCGGTCTTTGCATAGGAGGAAAACACATCCACTTTAGATTTACTTTTTTTAAAGTTCTCAAATTTCATAAAAAATGGCTGTTAAACTCCTTGGAGGTCTACTTCAGAAAAAAATAGAATATCAAGTAAAATAGTCTTGCTCTTCTCTGATATATTTCTTGTGACTTCTACATTGCATATCTATAGCTATTTATTCCAAGCATAGATTGGATTTTTTTTTAAAAAAAAAACAGCAATTAATTTCATTAAAAAATAGGCAACTTTTACAATAGTAACTTACAACATTTAAACATATATAGAAGTTGTTTGATAGGAGGAAAAAGAGTACTTATATAGACAAAGAACAATAGACTAATAGAACCATCTTCAGAAGTCTGAAGATACATCATCAATTGTCATCTACCAAAGATACTCAAGATATAAAGCTGATGCTGAAATCATAATTATCAATTCACAAATAAAATAAATTGCATACATGTGCATAATGCAAAATTTCATAATGCTACTCAGTATCACTTGCTTCATTGGCTCTCTCCCTCTAGATGGCACAGTTTAGTGGATGACAGTTGCAATTCAATAACACAAAGATTCCTACCTCTATCCTATTAATTTCAGTTAGAACTGATGGACAGCCAGTACTCATTAACTTAATCACACTTATGTATATTCCTATACAACCTTAATTTTAATCCTTTTTCATTCTCCATTTTCCAGTCCTATTATGTAGATACACAGATTTAATTAATATTGAAAATATGTAACATGAGTTTTTCAGGTGAAGAAACTATGGAACTTCTAAACTGAATCAATATCCCATGTTTTTGCCTCGAGAAGCCTAGTTTGATTTTGCATCATTGTTCCATCCTCCAACCCAACAGCCAATTTCCATAAGTTTCCTCTGAAAAAATTCAATAGAGGAGTATTTTATTTCGGTGAAAAATGTTAAGGAATAGAACAGTACAAAATAAGATCCTTGTTTAGAAAAACATTGCCAGCAAAGAAAACATATTAAAAAGTATCAAATTTCAAAGGCAATAGTTTTCTCAAATATTTTGATGAGATATCATCTTGGTAGCTTTGGTGTAGCAGTTGCTTGTTCTAGAAAATTATGTTTATTTTACACAAAGGAAATTACAGCACCAAACCATACATTAATTAGGCTGCAGAAGGTATACAATGGTTATTTTAAACAAAGTCAATTAATAAATCAGGATGTTTTAAAATCTGTTACAGTGGTCTATAGTATATGAATGGTCTAATAATGCAATCTCTGATGTAATCAAACTTAAGTAGAGTTTAGCATAAAACTCCAGTCGTCACAAATGAGATTTCTTGTATGTGTGAACTCTTCAATTCCACTAAACATTCAGTCAAAAATACGATCTGGTTTTGGACATGCTGCACAAACAAATAAGGAAACATCTATTACATTAACAAGGGCTTCAGACTAAAAATACAGAAATCTAATTCTTATTTAATGTCATATACATGGTAATATGAATTAAGACATTCATAACTGTTACTGAAATCCCTTATATCTTAATCTTATATGTGCAAAGGGTACAAACAGAAAAGAATCCTTCGTTCTTGATTAGTGTGCATTTGATTAGTAACAAAAATATTTGTTACTAATCAAATGCACCCTATTAAAAACATTACATGGGATAATGCATAATATCTAATTTTCCTTTTTTGATTGTGATCCCAATATCACACAATGAAATATCATTTGAACTGGGTCATTTAAAAGAAAGTAGTAATGGATTCCACGATACAATGGATTCATGACAGCAAATTTCTAGGAAAGCATAAACACCAGGCAATTTAGATCTTCACTGTTATATGCAAACAAACATTTTCTATATTACAAGGGATGAGCTCCAGGCACGCAAATATGTAAAACATGTTATCAAACATAGAACATTCTCAATAGTTGTTAACTTTTGGGTACTTATCCTAAATATGTTTTCAACTGGGCCACTTTGTTACAGCTAAAAGCATTACATATTTCCAGCAACTATTTGCACAGGCTATCCATGAAGTAAAAAGTCTTCCTTAAGATCTGAAGTCTTGGGACCATTTAATCTCATATCCAACCTAGATGTTTCTTATAAATCATGCAGTTCTTTTGTCTATGGAGATTCTCAATCATCCAGGTCATGGTTGTCCCAAAGATGCTTTTTCAAGAGGCAATTGGACCAGAAAGTACCTTAGGGATGCAGTTCTTCTCTTATTGTCCAATATTTATAGTTCATATTTAACACATTAATGAAGGACAAAACATCTGGATTCGCTCAAAAAGCTTTGACACTAATGTATTGCATTTTTGTTTTTTGCAAGATAAAATTTAGATGCACAAAAGGAGGACATAACATTTACAAATGCATAAAGACTGATGATGACCAAGAAATAAACAAATCAGTAGAGAAGAAAAGAAAAAAAATATAAATGAATAAGGCAAAATCATTAGACATTTTGGTTCTGAAAAGAATGACAAAAATAATCTGAATTTTTGCTATCAGCTAATATCAAATTATATTAAAATAAAGCAGTACAATCAAGCAATGTTCACACATTAATCTTACCTTAGCCATCTGAGCTTGCACACCATTTGCTTTAAGAGATGCTACGGCTTTCTGTGCAGCTGCTGGACTATCAAAATCTACAAAACCGTAACCTTTTGAGAGGAGGGGGGGAAAAGTAGCATTCATTATAATATGAATAAAGAATAAAGTAGTTTACCAAATCTTCCCTATCAACAATGTAACATTTTCAAATTTAATACCAATTGTTACTTCAAGATTTTGGATGAGTTTCAACACACCCAGCTGAAATGTTAAGTAAGACATGACCTGTTTTATATTAAGCCAAACCAGTGAATGAATCAGCAAAATTTTATTGTCTGCTCTGACAATGATTTTCTGGAGTCTTCAGCAAACGACTCTCTTTCCTTGGCATTTGATCCTTGTAATTGGAGATGCCAAAAATAAACCTGGGATCTTTAAAAATCAATGGTCACTTCCAGAATAGCTTATTATCTATCCAGAATAGGTTACTTAATTAATCTGATTGTGGGATTACAATGATGACTCTACAAACAAAGCAATTCATTCATTTTTAAGCTATAGAAAATTGTACTTTTGTTAAACATTTTCAGAGGTTTCTAACAGAATGATGCAATAGATAATTATTGCACTGAACCGAATTTTGGAATCTTCCCTTCATATCAGATATATGAATACTTTTTGGAATATATGCAATGTATTCATTGGAGAAAGGATACAACTTCATCTTTTGTAATGATTATGCAATCTAAAGAGCTTGCATCCACCTCAAAAGCTATAATAGTTATTTAGTACTAGAGTGCTAATAGCTTTAGGCATACATCTCCATTTACCAGATCAATATGCATCCACCAGAAAGCAATCACAAATATGCTGCAGCATTTAATGCACTTTAAACTTACTAATATCTCATGCATGTATTAAAAGAAGAAAAAAATAAATGAATCTAATATTCAAATTAATTCCATATATCACAAATATATAAATCCTGTTTTAAGAAATTGCTAATGATATAATGAAGTTTATGATTTTTATGCTAAGGTTCCTGTAAATAACTCGTTTCTCATATTTAACTCAATGGTAACTGCTTCAAAATAGAAAATTCTGTAAGAGTTACATTCTAAACATGCATATTAAGTGTGTAACTAAATCCATTTACAGAGCATTTATAAACTATTGAGACCCCCTTCACTTTTGTCAATTTTTTTTTGCTGCAGCCTGATACAGTTGTTAAAATCCTTTTTCCCCCTCATTAATCTACACTCAGTACCCCATAATGACAAAGTGAAAACAGAATTTTAGAAATGCCAGTAAATGTATTAAAAAGAAAAAACTGAAATATCACATTGTATTCAGACTCTTTGCAACAACACTTGAAATTTAGTTCAAGTTCCTCCCATTTCTCTTGACTGTTGCTGACATGTTTCTACACCTTGAATGGAGTCAACCTGTGGTAAATTAAATTAATTTGACATGATTTGAAAAAACACACATCTCTTTATAAAAGGTCTCACAGCTGACAATGCATACTGTAGCAGATCAAAAGACATGAGGTCAAAGGAACTGCCTGCAGAGCTCAGAACAGGGGTGGGATTCTACCAGTTCACACCTATTTGCTAGAACCGGTTGTTAACATTCTAGGCAGTTCGGAGAACCAGTTGTTAGAAGAAATTACTGGCCTAATCCTGTAAGGAAGGCAGGAAGGAAACATTCTGGTGTTGCTTACAGAAACTGCCTCTCCGTTAACCCTTATTACATTCTTGGCAGGACTAGACTTCCTGTCTCAGGAACTTCTCTGGAGTTTTTTTCCCCTCCTTTGCTGGTACTTTGCTTGTGTGGAGTGACCATTCAAAGTTATAATGGCACTGAAAAAAGTGACTTATGACCATTTTTCACACTTACGACTGTTGCAGCATCCCCACAGTCACGAGAGGCCAGGCAAGGAGAAGCGTGCCTCGATGTGAGTGATGTTGAGTTGGCCACGTCCAGCCAGTCACATGACCACCAAGCCACACCCATCAACTAAACCACGCCCACAGAACAGGTTGTTAAAAAATTTGAATCCCTCCCTAACTCAGAGACAGGATTATTGCAAGGGAGAGGTCTGGGGAAGGCTACAATAAAATTTCTGCTGCTCTGAAAACTCCTAAGAGCACAATGGCATCCATAATTTTCAAATGGAAGAAATTTGGCAAAACCCGGGCTCTTCCAAGAGCAACTGAGTTAGAAGGGCCTTAGTAAGAGAAGTGGCCAACAACCTGATGGTGACTCAGATTGAGCTCCAGAGATCCTGTGTGGAGATGAGACAGAGTTCCAGAAGGATAACCATCACTGCAGCCCTCCACTGATCTGGACTTTATGGCAAATTGGCTAGACAGAAGCCTCTCCTCAGTGCAAAACTCATGAAAGCCTGCTTGGAGTTTGCAAAAAAGCACCTGAAGTATTCTCAGACTTGTGAGGAACAAGATTCTCTGGTCTGATGAAACAAAGATTGAACTGTTTGGCCTCAATTCTAAATGCTACAATCAGGCATGGTTCATCACCTGCCCAATATCATCCCAACAGTGAACCATGGTGATGGCAGAATAATGCTGTGGGGTGTTTTTCATCAGTAGGGACTGTAGAACTTGTCAGGGTTGATGGAAAGCTGATTGAAGCAAAGGGTATCTTCAATGAAAAACTGTTCCACAGTGCTCAGACTGGGCCAAAGGTTCATTTTCCAACATAACAGCGATCCTAAACACATAGCCAAGACAACACAGGAGTGGCTTAGGGACAACTCTGTGAATGTCCTAGAATGGTCTAGGCAGACTTGAACCCTATCTCTAGAGGGACCTGAAAATGGCTGTCCACTGATGATTGCCACCCAACCTAACTGAGCCTGAGAGGATTCGCAAGGAAAAATGACAGAAAACCACCCAATTCAGATGTGTAAAGCTTGTCATATCATATCCAAAAAGACTTGAGGCTGTAACTGCTGCCAAAGGTGCTTCAGCAAAGTACTGAATGAAGGGTATGAATATTTATACCAATGTGATAGTTGAGTTTTTTCTTTTTAATACATTTACAGATATTTTTAAAATTCTGTTTTCAATATGTTATTATGAGGTAGATAATCGACAAAAAAAATGAATTTCAACAACTTAGAATGAGATTGCAGCATAGCAAAATTGACAAAAAATGAAGCGTGTCTGAATATCCTCTGAATGCAGATGTAGATATGCTGAATATGTAGATATTTCATTCCTAAGAAAATATGCCCAAGAATAAACAATAAATATAAGTGCTAAAAATATAGATAGATAAAATAAGCTTAAAGAAATTATCAGTAAAACCCAAAATATCCAAGATACCTTAAGTTCCATAGTCTTTTCCCAGCAGATATAGACAGTTAAATTCTGTATCATTTATAATTGTAGAATTATAAAAGATAATGACTGAGAAATAAAATCAGATTGCTTTTGACAAATATGGTTGTATTTGTTTATAGTTTAATTTTTAATGAATCTAAAAAAAAACACAATCTTATTTATAGGAGAAAAGACTTGGAGTGATACTACAGTTTAGCTCTAAAGGTTTTTAAAGTGAAACTGTGTCCAAATTATTACTGTAAACAATGCCCGCTAGGAAAAGAACAAGAGTTCAAAATCTTGATTTTTAACCTTTCCATGCTTTTTATGCTGCCAATCCAGCTGTGCTGCTTTATGATGATAGGGAGGAGTTGCTCTTGGGAGGTATAAACAAAGAACCTTACAAGTGTATATATCCCCAAGCAATCGTCTCAGCTGCCGGAGCCAAAGCAAACAGACACCTATATTGGGCAGCAGCCAAATAGGAATATGTTGCAGACTGATGTTTACTTTAGGGACAATGACAAAGGCATCAATTCATACTGTATGGAGGGAAAGCAATTGTAAACCATTCTTGTATTTTTCACAAGAAATCACGTGGGCAGAAAATATAAGAATGATTGAGTGGAGCTGGATGATGGGCCTTTCAGGTTTGGATGGCACTCAATATGCTTCTGAACAGCTGAGGATCTTTCACAATGCAAATGCCATTCATGACGTGGCTAGATTAAAGCCTTCAGAACATCTGAGTTGCTGATGTTATCAATCAGGAAAATAAGCTCATAAACTATAAAGACAGAATAACAGAACATGAAATGTAAGAAACACAGATATGGGAAAATTCAACACAGGAATATAAAATGAAATGACTACAAATTGATATCTTAAGCATTAGCAAATTGAGATGGACTTGGATTGCTCACTTTCAGTGAGAAGATCACATCATTTATTACTCAGGATATGAAAAACAAAACAGAAATGTGTTGCTTTTATAGTTGGAAAGAATATAACAACAGCAGTAGTTTGCTACAATCTGTTGTGGTTCGCCGGCAGCAGGTGCAGAAGCTGGGGTCTCAGAGAACAAGGACTCAGATGAGGCGCCTGCGTGTGATGCAGGGATGGGGCCAGGACCATCAGGGAGTAGAATGCTGCCTTCGGAGATTGTGGAGGCTGACAGCAGTGATGAAGAGGTCCCCGAGGAGCGTTTGTCTAGTGTGTGTGCATGCAGGGCTGCTTGAAGGAAAAAGCAGCTGCTGCAGCACGGGCAACTCGGGCAACTCGGGAGTAAGGCTGCAAGGTAATGGCCCCTCCCTTAAGAGATAAAAGCCAGCTGAGAAATCAGAGTTCTTTGAAGGAAGCAAAGAAGTTTTTGCACTCAAGCCTTATGGACGTTTGGAATATCTTGGTTGGTGTTTTGGTTCTTTGTGTTTGAAATATTTCTTAGTAACTTTATCTAGAGTTCTTGGCAGCCTTGCACAACCTTGGCAAGGCTCGTTCTTATCAGAGACAATTAGTTTGAAACAGCCTTTTAACCGTGAAGGAACGGAATTCATAAAGAATCATTAAAAGGTTTTGCTGTTACCTCTGTTTTGTGTTTGTTTCCTTGGAACAAGGTTTGGGTCAGAACACAATCAATGAATGTATATTATTGATTATTGATTAGACCTCATGGACAACCTTTTGATATGGCAATGATTCAAGTCTATGGTCTAACTACTGAAGCAGAAGTAGAGGAGGTTGATGAGTATTATGATCTAGTTTAA